TGGGCCCCCAACTGCACCTACACCAAAGGAGGAGGGGGCCTCACCTCTTCCACAACTCTGGCCCTACAAATAAGCATAAGAGATGTTAGGATGTTATGATTGGATGTTAGGAAAAACTCCAAGTACAGTTCTGCACTGGAACAGGTTAACTAAGGAGGCTGTGGAATCCCTGCCACTGGGTAGTTGGGTGGGATTTAGAAACAGGCTAGACAAACACCTGTCAGGGATGGTCTAAGGCTACTTTATTCCACCTCAGCATGGGGGCAGGACTAGGGGACCTCTTGAGCTCCCTTCCAGGCTCAGCCCTACATTCCTCTAATTCTGAGTGTAGTGTGCGTGCACGCGTGTGTGCAGGACATATTTGTACAATTGTGTGTGTCTGTATATCCATTGTGCTGTGTGTCTCAGTGCTAGGATGGGTAGGAATGGTGTCCCTAGCCTCTGTTTGTCTGGAAATGGGTGACAAGGGAGGGATCACGTGAGGATTATCAGTTGCGTTCCCTCCCTCTGGGGCATTTGGTGTTGGCCACTGTCGGCAGACAGGATACTGGGCCAGATGGACCTTTGGTCTGACCCAGTCAGGCTGTTCTTATACTCTTATGTTCTTATGTTCAATGTACAGGACAGATTTGCATCCACGAGCGAATGTTCCATGCTCACCACTGTAAAGTTGGTTTACTGGATCTATGCTTATTCTAGCTCATGCTTTCTCACTCAAAATGTAGGAGAACACTGTGCTACATCACAGCTCACATTGTGGGCAAAGGTTGATTTTTCAATGGTGACCACTTTATTTGTTGCTGAAGTCAAAACATATGCATGTGCACGTGAATATGTCTCTGTGCATGGAACACAAGACTAGCAGCAACTGGCAAAGATCTAGACAGCAAATGACTTGTTCTCCCCTTGTGCATTATGTATATAGACAGGACTTGTAAGGAATCGAGAAAAGACAGCAGGAGGTGTAATGAAATCATCTGAGAGAGGTGAAACACCAGAGTCTGCAAAGGCACCAGTTACCAGCCACCCCACAGGGCTGCTATCTGTGAAAAGGCTGCACAACCATCTGTCACCTTGAGTTGGCACAGGAGCTGATGGCCAACTTTCCAAAAGTGTCCAGGTCCCCCTCTCCCTTCTGAGAATGATGGGAGCTGCTGCCTGATTGCTGTTCAAAATCTTGTGGGGCTGGAAGGCTGGGGAGAGGAGCCCAGAGGGGAGGCTGGTGTCTCCCCTCCCTCCACCCCGACTTTCCCTGGTCCAGAAAACTCCATTGTCTGGGACTGGTCAGGTCCCGAGGATGCTGGACCAGGGAGGTCCAATCTTTATAGAGCGACAATGCCCTGTTCACACCATGTATATCCATTGCCCGTGTGTCTAAATTGCACTTCAGTCTGTAATGCCATCACTTTTCCAGCAGAGGGTTCTCAAGCCCCAAATATAAAGGTATAGGAAGACAACTGCAGCCTGAGGTTGGCAGGATCACTTTCTGCCTGGGAGTTATTTTACAACCCCTCTATTCTGTCCTGGAGCTGGTATTTTGGGGATGGAATCTCTGCGGGGTATTAGCTTTGGAATCTTTCTTTGCAGTAGCATGTGGATCGTCTCACAGTTTTCAGATGGGGGTGAGAGTCTCTTTTATTCCTCCCAGGCCACCCTCCCCCCACGCCTTAAACCAACAACCTGCATTAGGCTGAAGCAACCCTTCCAGCTGAGAAGGCAGCAAGAATTCCAGAGCCTGTGACAAATGCTTCCAAGGGCATGCGCTGACCAATGCACAGAGTAGGCAGCCTCTATAATGCTCCCACACCATCCACCCCAGCCCCTTAAATGACATTGCCTTTCTTGGCTGCACTCAAGGTGCCCGCTATTTCATACATTCTTCCTTGAAATTAAAATCAGCTCCATAGTTAGAATTATCCCTCTCTGTGGGTGCTCATAAACTGGCGACTGTAAGTTGCTTCTGAGCAAAGATCCGCACACACTAGCTTGTAATTTACTGAAGAATCTCCTCCGAGTGCTGAAAAAAATGTATTCTGATTCGTTACAGTATTGTAGCATCAGTTGTGAACAGTAGGCAGCGTGCCCTGCTTTGTTGTTGTAGGGTCTCTCCCATAATTGGGTGTGCCAATTTGTTGCAGTGTTGTAAGGTCACTCAGGAGCAGTAGGCAGCATGCATAGAGCCCTGCAACTCTGAGGATATCTGCTTTATACCTGCAGGTATCCACATCCACAGACAGGGATGCAGATATCCATGGTTCATTTTTGCAGATGCAGTCACCAATTTTGTATCCGCGCAGGGCTCTAATGAACTGTTTTGTTATTGTAGGTTTCTAAATGGGAGCAGGGCTGCTAGCGTCAGATTTTGAAAAAGCCAGACCTGATGTGTATAAAAGCATTCATCAAAAGAACCGTGAATTTTACATACAGATGTAAGGGAACAAAGTCAGGTGCTATAAGTCAAATTCTGGGTCATGCAATCCTAAGTATTCCTTTCAAAGGTAAGGATGCCACGTTACCACATCCTACATGCACCCTCTATGGTTTTTAACTTTACAAATACACACTAAATAAAGTGAGCAAATAACTGTTTATTATTGCACGTAATCCAGCAGAACGGACTTAACATTCTGGCCAATATTATACTGAGCATAGTACACATCTTTCAAAGCCTGTGAAGAAGGCATTCTCTGTGAAGAATGAAACCGTTCTCTATCTTTGTAAGACCTGAAAAGTTAATCAAAATTTCCTGGTCATTTTTGCAGGCATGCAGTTTGAGGGAAATTTGTTATTCTGTATCTAAAAAATCCCCAAAGCCCTAAGAGACTATATATATTTAAATACGCCTCGTAGGGCTTTTGTTTATGAAAGCAAATCTATCTACTCGTCTACTTTTCTGAGAGCATTACTGGGAAGAAAGCATACTACTGAGTGCACATCACATGCATACAAAAGTGGGAGAGAAATTGCCTCCGCATTTTTTTAAAAGATCCGGTTTTGTGCTTAAATATAAATAACAATCTCTTAGATCTCTCAATCATATATGTGGTTAAAAAAAGCAACAGGCATATTGAAACTGTACAGCTGGCAACTAAGTACCAGCAAATGGGTCATAACATTTCAAGCAACTGAGCCTGGTGTTTACATTTATATTTAGAAAAAGAAGAGAGAGAGAAATAAAAAGATGAATTGTTAGTACCTTGTGCTCTGTGAAAGTTCCTAAAAGATACTTCCCTGCTTTCTCAGGGCTGGAACAGCCACATGGTTTCCAGAAAGGGATCAAATTAATTTTCCCTCCCACAGTTAATACCATGTATTTGCTACTGTAGCAACATTCCTGAGCTAAATAAAGTCACAAAATAAACATGGTTGGAGGAAAAAAAGAACAAAATTATCATCACTTCTGTTTATCTTAATTTTATCTCCAACAACTGATAAATTATACCTAAGCAGAGTGAAGATTTTACCCCAGTGTTTCCAAGATGTATCAATCCATACACATTTGCTCCATTGTATTTGAAATCCTTGCAGATTGGCATCTGGAACTCTGTTTCCCTCCCTCCTCCTTCAACAATCAGTTTTCTTCCTTCCTTTCCTATTTCCTTTCCTATTTATCATTTTCCTTTCCTATTTTCTCCCAGCCGTGCTGTGGGGACTTCAGGGTACATGAGGTGCATGATCAACTGTAAATACATTACTTAGGTACCTTAGGGTGTGTCTAGACTACAGGGTTTTGTTGACACTCGTTCTACAAGGAATAATGCCTTTTTTCGATAGTTCTCTGTTGAAAAAATGCGCTATTGCATGCAAACTGTGCTTTTTCGAAAGAGAGCGTCTAGACTCTTTCGAAAAAGCGGCTTGCTTTGTCGACAGTACTGGTTGTAGTCTAGATGCTCTTTTTTGACAGAGGCTTTGTCGACAGTATCTGTTGTCAAAGCCTCTGTCGAAAAAGGAGTGCAGTCTAGACGTACCCTTAGAGACTAACAATATATATATGTATAGTATGAGCTTTTGTGGGCAAAACCCACTTTGTCAGATGAAATGAACTTGAGCTTACTTATTGATGGTAGAAAATAAAATAAAGGTCACAGAATACTAGAAACATAAGGGTTAATTTATACAAAATACATACTGATTTTAAAGAGAAAAAACTGTCCAAGCACTCAGTCTCACACTAAGCTGTAACTTCATCTGTGCCATCTTTATATCCTTGTATTGCTAAAGGTCAGACCATACCACGTAGGAAGCATCTCATTACAAAAGCATAGTAGGACTCTCAGTTTTAGTTCTTTTTAAGTATTATTGCATAATGTTAAGGCCTTTCAGTCTCGAAAACCAGAATGATGCCTAGAATTATCGCCTCTTTATTTGATTGCTGGTTAAGGCCTGTGTGGTACTGTGTCTTTTAAAATCTGAGGCCCAAATATATCAGAGCCTGTCTGGATTCCTTGTGTTGTTTCCTTTCTCTCTTTTAATGGTTCCACAATATGTTTGTTTGAAAAATCCATTCCCGTTGGTTGGAACAAGAGGGTCGGAAGGCCATGGCTGTAGCCCAAGGATGAGACACAGCAGACACTGGCGATATGTAGTGATGGTGTTTCTGTATTTGGAAGCCAATTGCCTAGTTTAATAGCAACTTACAGTAGCAGCATTTTAACAGGGTTTTTTTTTTTTAAAGGAATTAAGGCAAAATATTTCGTCTCAAATTACAGCTGTGGAGTAATTTGCTGCAAAAGTATCTTATGTAATATTGGTGACATGGACAACTCTCAGCAGCCTGATCTGGTGTAAGAGGTGCTGTGTAGTTTTTAAGCATACCTGGTTTCCACCTGCTAATATTTGTCCACTCAAGTAAACAGCCTCTAATTAGCCTGTTAAGCATGTACAACACCATGCAACCTGCCTACTGGTTCTTCAGCAGCCGCATGTATGACCCAGCTGTCTGGTGTGAGGCTGCTTGCTTGCTTTACACTCAGCTCAATTTCAGTTGCCCCTCATATGTTGGTTTCTTCATGGTAGGTGATATTAGATTCACTGACTTCCAACTATGGGGTCCCTCAAGGCTATGCCTTGTTCGTAAGTCATTTAACTCCTTTTGTGGAGCAGCAGGGGAAGTAGCCTAAGGCTTTTGCTAAGACTGATAATACTCCTGGGTTTGGTGGAGTGGTTAAACAATTCCAGCTCTGGGAGGGTGTGATGTGTGCTCCTGCTTACCCCGTGCATTGCATTGTCTCCTTGCTTTTATTGACATTTTCTGGGAAAATTTTTGACATTGAGTCGGTCAAGGGCATCAGAGAACAGAGGGCACTTAAGTGTACACACTTCTACAACTACAGATAAATCCCTCTTCCCTGGCATGATCAGGGACTTTGGTGAGGACACGTTAAGGCAATGGCTAGTTCCTACAAAGGAAAGAACAAGAAAAGTTTACAAAAATCCAGGTTTCTTGTCTGACTGGAGAGTCACCCACCGACTGGGAGCAGTGAAGCTAGCCAGATACTCAGAAAACTTTCTTTGAAAGTTCATGTTTCCTGTGCAACGTTAGGTTCTAACGTCCTCCTGGTTGATGTTTCTGTATGTCCAAGCATTTAATCCCTGCCAAGGTCCATGGTTTACAGCAGTGGCAACATCTGTCCTGAACAAAGATCAATGGAAGAGTCAGTGAGGAGCAATATGTACAACCATTCCTAGGTGTGTGGTATGAGAACGCAAGGAGCTTCTGGTCAGAGGGAGTGTGCTAAGATGGCATCTCCCTTTCTCCCTGGATCCTTTATAAGGGAGGATGCTGGGATCTGGTCCTTGAGGCTTAAACACAAGCTTCACATTCTGCAAATTGTCTGTGGGCAGACCTGGAATAAACTTGAACTGGCCACTTTCAAAACCATCTCTTTCAAGTCAACCAAAGCCTCAAGAAGAGTCTTTTATCCAATGGGGCCACTAAGAGCTGCTTTTTGTCCTACTGCGAAAGGCAGCAAAGACAATTAATGTATTTCCCCCACTGGTTTCATTCACACACTTGAAATAATGATTAATACATTAAGCCACATAAAGCAGGGTTTAGCTGAGCTGTTTTATCTACTAGTTGCCCCAACAGAGGCTATGTCTCGACTGCAAGCTTCTTTTGGAAGAAGCTTTTCTGGAAGAGAACTTCCAGAAAAGCTTATTTTGAAAGAGAGTGTCCACACAGCAAAAGTGCAATGAAAAAGCGATATGCTTTTTCAAAATAGAGTGTCCAATCAATGTGGGCGCTATCTCACATTTAAGTTGTGATTAGTCTGGATGGAGTGGCCACCAGGGCACCCGTGTTATTTCCTAGAGGTCTCTTCTTTCAAAAGAACTGCCTTTTCTGCCTCCACACATGCCTTTTTCTGAAAAAGCTTTTTTGGGAAAAAGGCTTCTTCCTCATAGAATGAGGTTTACTGCCGTTGGAAGAACTCCTCTGTTCTTTTGACTGTCTGTCAAAAGAACTCATTGGCAACGTGGATGCAAGTATTATTTTTCCAGAAAAATGGCCATTTTCCTGGAAAAACACTGCAGTGTAGATGCATCCAGAAAGGGAGCTTGATTCACGTTTTGAGTGGACGTGGGCTGAAGAAAGAACTGTGAGCACTAGGTTCAGGCTTGAGGCCAAGTTAGGACTAAGGTTAAGGTGCAGATTCAGTAGCTGTCTTGCTTGTTTGCAGCCCAAGATAGTAAAAAACTTGTGTGAACTTATGATAAATTTACTGTTTGGGGTTGCAGCCTCATGTGGACTGTGTACAAGGTGCCACCATGCATAAACTAAACCTTCATCCCCATTCAGTGTCCAGACCATCCCTGAACTGTAGTTTAATCCTAATCTGAACCAGGCTAACTTTACTATAGCTGGAAATCTTACTCTGTAAACAGGGGAGCCGACAGCCTGTGCGAGCCCTGAGCAAGGTGGGGGAAGGGCCTGGCTCTCCTCTTCCAGAATGCTGGAATGGGTGGGGCCTTAAGCAGAAGCGGTGGGGCTGGGGACAGCCATCCCTCCACGCTGCCCAGAGTGTGGCGCACTCTCCCCTCCCCAAAACCTCTGAGGTGCATGAGCACATGGTGTGGTGCACCAGCAGCAATTTAAAGGGCCTTGGGCTCCCAGCCGCTCCCTTTCAATTGCAAGGCCTTGGGGCAACTGGTCCCTTTGCCTTATCCCCCCGCCCCCTACCCGTCAGCCAGCCTATCTGTAAGTCATGCTCATTTACCTTGAGTGGGGGGTGAAGGGTAAAAGTTTATCATGTGACTTACATTCAATCAAAGCAGTTAAAATTTGAATGTTGGAAAACAAAGTCCTTCCCATGAAAAAAGCAAATGACCAAGAATTCATCAACTACAGTAAAAATTAGCAAATATAACCCACGCACGAGTATAACCCGCAGTTTTCCCCGATTGAGTAAAAAAAGTCTTGTATACCCCGCGCACTTGTATAGCCCGTGGGGTATACAAGACTTGGTTTTACCTTGTATTTCACACTGTGCTGGGGGGGGAGGGGGAATTCTGAGGCCGGGAAGTGGGGGGACTTAGCCTGCTTGCAGGAGAGGAGCCGCACTCACCCCCTGGTTCCTGTGCAGCCGCAGCAAGGCCCAACCTCCGGGCGGGGGAGCACTTACCTCCTGGTTCCCGCGCAGCTGCACTCACTCCCCGGGTGAGTAAAAAAAGTTTTGTATACCCTGTGGACGAGTATACCCCATGGGGGTGGGGCGCAGGGTTTGTAAAAACGCATATAACCCGTGGGATATATGCGCTAATTTACGGTAATAGTTTTGATCATGAATGCATTTGAGAATCCCTATCTGTTTGAGAACTGACAACACAAAAAGAGGTGATCTTTGTTGAATGAATTATTTGTTGTGAATTATTGGCCCAGAAGGAATTTAAAAAAGAAAAAAGGCGGAGTCTTTCTTTAAGGAATTATTCAAAGCAGGCGTTGGAAATTTTCTCCCAATCAATGCATGTCACTGTTTCATTTCCATGTATTTAGCAATCTTACCTTGTCTGAGGGGTGCATCATGTCAGAAAATGTACAAATAAGATGGCCAGACCAATATTCAATAAGATGACCATGCAGATCATGATTGTGTTAGGTCCCTAAAGGGAAAAAAACAAAGCAGAGTATTATCCACCATGATTCAAAGGAGGACACAGATACAGTTCCCTGAGCTACTGCCTAATTTAAAAAGGATTTTAACCAATTTCTTTCAAAAACGGGTTCTTAAGTGTAGACCTGTGGCCTGATTTTCAAAAATACTGAGTACCTCGCAGTTCCCACTCTTGATCCTCTGATTAAATTTTCTTTCCTGTCTCACCAGGCTGAAAAGACCATGGCAGGCTCTCTGCTCTTGTCCCAACAACTAATACAATTCAAAATTCTACCACCTTTATCACAAATTGTCTATGTTTGCAATGTTGCTGTTTTTAAGAAGAAAAAGTTGTTTTATTTTTGTCAGAGTGTCCTAATTTGGGACTAGACAAGAAAACAGCCTGTGAAGAAACGAAAAGCCATTTCCTTGTGATATTGATTTTCCCATCGTTGTTTTATTGTATTATCTGATGTTCTAACACTGCCATGGGTCTGGGAGAAAACCATTTTAATTTCCTCATAGGTGAAGAGATAGATGAAGCACAGGCTTATTTTATACACCCACATCGGATGTGTGAAAATGGTTTCAGTCATCGAGAGAAACAAAGGAACATTTTAAATACAATGTTAGACAGTAATTTTCTGTATGACCATTTCTTTTCCATCCAGAGGCAGGACTTGCTGTGAAAGTTCCTTGGGAAGAGGGGGGAGAGAATCTCTTACAAATGATCATTGGATCCAAAGGAAAATTGGAGGCCTCTAAATAATTACATTGCATCACAAAAACTTGAAGTTGTGGATCCCTTCTGATCCCTTCTATGTGCACAGCTAGACTGTGGCAGCAGTGAGTGTTACAGTGATCGGGGAAGGGAAATCCATTACCTGTAACCGGAGCAGCAGAAATATGCTGCGAACAAAACCATCAAACTGAATGCATATTAATTTCAGGATGAACAGTAGTAACTGGATGCCTTCTCAGGGGGACAGTTTTAGACAGTAACCTGAGGCCGTAACGATCAGTCACCCTGACCTGTTTGTCACTGGGGCTGCCTCACAATGGATAAGAAGAGCTTTCAAACAGAATTCTGCCATCAAGCAATGAAGCCTTTGTCAAGCCATGAGCTCAAACCAAAATCCCAGATTAAACTGTCCCCAGGAGTTGGGGTCCTGAGCTGTTGGACAGCGCTTTCCTCTCTAAGTGGGCAAACTTAAACCTGGCATCCATACACAAACAGAAACTTCAGGGAACATTCAGATCCCAGTATCAGGACAGGGACTTGTGCTAGTATAAGGCCTTGTCTTTACTCCACGGAAGATCAATGCTGCTGCAATTGATCTTCCGGAGTTTGATTTAGCAAGTCTAGTTAAGACTCACTAAATCGAACTCACAGGGTGACCCCACTGGTGGCCAGTACTCCTGCTCTTGCGAGGACTAAAGGAAAGCCGCTGGGAGCATTTCCTCCCATTGGCCTCCCGCTGTAGGGATGCTGCCAAACTCAGCTTAAGGTAACCCAAATCCCGCTACGTGTTCTACATAGCTGGAGTTGCGTACCTTAAGTCAAGCTGCCGGGTCTAGTGTAGACCTGGCCTCAGAGAAGAATGATACTCCAGTGGTTAGGGTGGTAGCCTAGAGCACAGAAAACCTGCATTCAATTCCCTACTCTACCACAGAATTCCCATGTGACATTAGGCAAGTCATTAGACCAAGATTTTCGAAAGCAAGTAATGTTTCTGAAAAAAAATGAGGGGTCCTATGGCACCTTAAAGACTAATACATTTATTTGGGCATAAGCTTTAGTGGGCTGGGATCCACTTCATCAGATGCTGATGATTTTGACCACTGGTTCACTTGATACATGCCACCTAGCCATTTGGTAGCAACTAGGGCTTTTGATTACTGACAGTGAGAGGTAAGCCAGTGAGGATAAAGTAAGAACCCATTCTAACAGGCACCCAAACGTTGAGGCAGAAAGTCAAACCCAAACCTCATCTGACAGTCAAAACAATTAATGTTTGTAACAAAAGATTCCAAGCACCTATTCCTCCTGAGCTTGGAGGCAGAATTATCTTTAAATATGATGAGAAACACAGTGTTTATCATATTATGGCTCCATCTAAACCCGGTAGACTCTGGGAAAGCCATTTCTTATGAGGGTTCCAGCCTAATTTCTAGGCCATAAAGGTTTAAAGATGCCTCTGAAACTCTAGGCATGTAAAGCTTCAGATCCTTTTGAGGTTCATTGCCCAGCTCTTCTAGATACAAACCAGTGAGCTGGAGGTGAAAGGCCAAGTCTCGATCTCCTGAGCCTCCTGTCACTACCAGGAAACCCTGTATTAGGATGGATAAAACTACACCAGAGACCTTTCAGAGCGTCCTAGATTTTAAGGCTAGAAGAAACCTTGGAGCATCTAGTTATATTACATTTAAATTGCCTTCAATTAACCCAGACACTGGCAAAATGTTTCACTAGAAGCTGAACTCTCGACCCAGCCTTTTAATGTGCACGTGCAAATTTTGAACACACATTTGCACATGAAAATTGGTGAGAGGTGTGCTGCCACCCCCAAGCGAACACAAAATTTCAAAGGCCAGTTTGACCCCACATGCAAGAAATTCCCAGTCAGGATACCATGCAACATCACCTCTTCAAATTCATCTACTTCCTGTGCTGCTGCTGCTTCAGGGGGAGTCTCCTTCTTAGCTACCACTGTAGGTTCGAGTTTAGCCAGAGCCTTCATCTCAGTCTTTTGCTCAGGCTTGGCTTCAGTTGCAGCTTCTGCTTTCACGGCCACCTTGTGCTCAGCCTTGTGGTGTTGCTTCAGATCTTGTTTATGTTTGAGCTCCGGCTTGGGCTGCTCCGGTTTAGATTCTGCTGTGGGCACTGGTTTCTCTTCAGGTACTGGCTCATGCTGAGTGACGGGTGTGCCTCCCCTCTTCTGCAGTTCTGCTTTGTGTTCAACAGCCCTCACCTCAGTTCTTGGTTCTGGGGTGACTGATTTAGTAGGTGATTTGGGGACAGGGAATGATTCTTCCTCAAAGTCCAAGGGGGGAGTGACTGGGGAGGTCCTCACTGCGTAGCTGTGATAGCCTTGGTATAATTCGACATCGGGTTCTTGCACAATCCTCTGAAGGGGCTTGATCTCCATCTGATCTGCCGAAGTCCTGGTGTTGCTGAAGCGAATGGAGCTCTGCGAGGCAGGTCTGCTGCTGGCTTTCTCCCCAGGTGCCAACAGTGCACTGGATGGCGTGTTGGGCCTACTTCCTGTGTGGCTCCCGTCTCGGTTGGTATCCCCATTCCAGCTGCCAGGGCTGAGGAAGCCATCCCTCTGTGAACTCTGCTTTGCCCGCTTTGCCACCGGCGGTGTTCCAGCGGGACTTGGCGATGGCGTTTGGGCTGGATTTTCCTGGGGGTTGGCAGAGTCTTTCTCGTGGAGCTGAGGGCTTTCTGGAGGGGTGGGCTGTGGTGGCACTTTGGTGGGTGGTGCAGCCTCTTCCAGGTTCCCCATATTCTCAGCATTCTCAATGATTTCCTGGAGCAGCTTCCTCTTCTGGTACTCAGGGCCTGGAGGAGAAGAAAGGAAGAGATGTTCAACATCCTCAGAGAGTAGCTGCTCACCTTCCATCTGCCCCCATGTTCTCATGAGCTAATGGGTGTGAGTGAACTCATGCTCAAAGACCCCTTCAGATACTTGCTATCATGTGGGAACACAAGGGACCTACTTTTCTGATGCCCTGTGACCTCCCAACTGTTTTTTTTTAAGGGTGCAAGTTCACATCTGCAAAAAACTGCATCTACATTTTTGTGTCTGCATTTCACTACACATCAAATGATCTGATTTGTAGGTACGCACAGGAAGCTAGATTCTAGCTACTAATATACATCATGAACCTAAATTTGCACCTCCAAAAATAAATTTCTGAAAGAAACACAGACATTACAGATGGGAAAGATCCTTGAATTGGCCATCATTGCTCCCTTCAGTTAGAATCAGGACCTGCTTACAGTCTGCAACATCCACATAGTCACTTTGCCAGAATAAGGTAAATTAGAGTGTCGAATGTGGGTGAGGTAATATCTTGTATGGGACCAACTTCAGCAGGTGGAAGAGACAAGCTTTTGAGCTACACGGAGCTCTTCAGGTAAAGGTAAGGTAACACACTCTGTATGTGCTGGCTGGGTCCTGCAGGCCTCCTTGCTGTTTCTGTCATGTCCTCTATATACTGCCTTGGTTCAAGTAACTAAGGGTATGTCTACACTGCCACCCTAGTTCGAACTAGGGTGGCAGTGTAGACATACCCTTAGTTACTTGAACCAAGGCAGTATATAGAGGACATGACAGAAACAGCAAGGAGGCCTGCAGGACCCAGCCAGCACATACAGAGTGTGTTACCTTACCTTTACCTGAAGAGCTCCGTGTAGCTCAAAAGCTTGTCTCTTCCACCTGCTGAAGTTGGTCCCATACAAGATATTACCTCACCCACATTCGACACTCTAATTTACCTTATTCTGGCAAAGTGACTATGTGGATGTTGCAGACTGTAAGCAGGTCCTGATTCTAACTGAAGGGAGCAATGATGGCCAATTCAAGGATCTTTAATATACTGAAGCCCACTTCTGTCTAGTTCCACTGGATACTGTCTAGGTCAATAGCTTAGATGTGACTCATCCAGGAAGGCTGTGCACCCTGACACTGTATTTTTAAGGACAGCCCTGATTTTAGGGGATTATCCTGTATCTGCAAGGCCAGTCTGATACGAGCACCAGTCGGTAATTCAACACATTCCTCTTTGAAACTGGTACTTACAGGGTTCCACTGAAAACCGCCCCCCCCAGAATTTACAGGAAGAAAAGGAGGTTCTTCCCACCTGGAGAATATTACTGTATTTCATTCACATTCCTCACAAACAAGCCTTTTGTTTGCATTTCCCAACAGCTAAACAGTCCTGCTTCATTTCTCCAAGTGAATGACTTAGCCAACTGGGAGATTTGCTGACGGTGACACCCCAGATCAGGTTAAAGGATATGCTGAAAAATCCAAGAGAAAATTCTCTCCCTCTCTGTTACTAAACCTATGGACTAAGAAAGCCCCCTGATAGTCCAAGATGTGGGGGAGAGGGAAATAAAAATGATCTCATATACCTTTGTAGATCCTTTCAACCCAGGCGCAAAATGTTCTTTACAAACAATCAGGTATCACAATCGCAGCTCAATGGAAACACAGTGAGGTAGCTGCCATTCTCTCCCTTATACAGACGGAGAAGCTAAGGCCCAGAGACACAAGGTGATGTACCAGGGTCACACTGTCACTCCAGTGAATGGCTGGAATAGGACCCCAGAGTCCTGACTGTCCCAAGTATACACTACTGGTATCAGGCTAGTTTGTACATGCCGTGACTGCCATCGCTAGCAGGTTGAGAGCTAAGGTGAGTACAAATACATGTGCAAGAGAATCACATCCCACGCTCATAGTGTAGACACATAGCCTCAATCTCACCTTCCTGTTTTTCTCCAGATCCCTTCATTCCCTCCCCCCTGTTCTGATACAAATGGGAATGTCTCTCCCTCTCGTGTTCTTTGTTCTCATCACTTGCCCTAGAGATAGGTTCCATGCGTGGATTTCCCTTTGCCTGAGGAAAAAGGATGTTGTAGCCATCTCACGTGAAAAGAGCCAGGTTGGATTTTCTGCACTGCATCCAAACTCCTAAAATCACAGTCTGTTTTCGGAAGGGTATCACCACACTCTGGAAACAGTCGTGTAGCTGACACTGCCCTTCAAACAGGCAGCTAAGGGAAAACCAGGACAAGGATCTATAGGTGCACATATTTTTAAAAAAATCATTCCTTGATTGGACTCCCCTGCACCTGCATGAGGAAAGTCGAAGGAGTCATTCAGACAAAAGGGCGTATGTAGCCTGGCTGTAAACCAGGGGTCGGTAATAAGATGGAGGCAGTTCATCAGGGTTAGCTCCTAGAGCACCGCTGCCATTTTATTTATCTGCACCTCTGCCAGTATGGGTGCTTGCACCTCCGGTTGTCTGCGGACCGCCGTTCCTACCTAATGGGACCTGCGGGAAGAGGTGCGGATGGGGACATTGATCCACGGCCAGAGGGAACTGCAAGCACCTGTATCTGCAAAGCCGCAGATAAATACTGTGGCAGTGGCCCACTAGGGGTTAACCCTGGTGAACTGCGACTGGCCCATGGGCCGGTTAATGCCCATAACTGCTGTAAGCAGAGTCACAGACCTGAACAATGTCCAGCGTGGTGACCTGTGGCATGGAGATTCTGTTTATAACCACAGAGCAAAGACCCGTTGCAATTCCACAAGGTGACTCCGGGATTTAGGTTTCACTCTGACCTCATCTGACTTGCTGATGTCAACACATCTTAGATGATTGTTTGCCTATCAGTAAATCTCTGCTTCTTGATAGCTCTGCCTGCAGGACCAATCCCCACCAAACACACCTGCTTGCATTTGGAAGCACACTAGAACAATTTGGCTTCTTGAAAACAATCCGCAAAGCCCTGCCAACACAACCTGCCCTGCACAGGCCTCTCTCCATGGGGAAATGGTGAGGAAACAAAGAACAAATAGATATGTGGTCACATCACTTAATGCACGGCTGGAAGGAGCTTAAATATCACAGGGGCGGGTGCAGTGCAGGAATCTGAACAGAATGGGATAGAGTCATTGGCCTATGCCAGCTGCCAACGGGCAGCAAGCAAAGGTGACAATGCAGGAATGGTGCTTTGGTCCCTGGTCTACAGGAGGGTGGTTATTGTTATGGATATTACAGTGGTGCTGAGAGGCCCTGAGACCAGGGCTGCATTGCGCTAGGTGCTCTGCATACACATGGTAAGAAACAGCCCTTGCCCCAAAGCACTTGCAGTCTAAACCAGACAAAGAGTGGGGGAGAAAACAGAGGCATGGGGAAAGGAAGTGATTTGTCCAAGATTACACAGGAGTTTAGAGCCCTGGTACACTATGCAGGAGACCATGTCTCATTCCCCCTGGTTGCAAAATAGCTTCCTTCCATTCCCCATGATCACGCTCCCTGTGACAGCAGCTCCGCTAAGAATCCTTTGGCGAGGTGGTGGAGAAGCTGGGGTCTATTTCAGCTAATATGATTGCCAAAAAATCCTGCCGCTAGAGCAAACAAACGTGATTTAAATCAGAGGTGGGTGCTTCAGTAAAACACGTCTGTGGCTATTCGTCTGAGTAAAATACTCAGTTAATTCTGAATTCGCATCCCTTTTGCGGTCACTGTATGCCAGTATTTCAGCACACAAGTGTGCTGGCACAAACGGTGAATTTTAGGGGATTGTTCAAATATATCATTGAGAAAAGTAAATTTTGAATTTGTAATCATGCCTATTCAGACTGAAAACCTCATGATAAGAGCTCTGCATTGCCGATCAGGAAACAGAAATACACCAGGTGTCCAGTGTGCGTTTTGAATGTCAATGCAACATGCTGCCAGTGACTGATCAGTGGAGCAAGAAGCACGGGCAGGAATTACTTGGTGAATCATTTTGAACAATGAATTTGTCCAGTGGTTATCCAGCACCAACCACACTGGGCTCCTATCCACAACAGGCGCTGCGAGGTGCTATGGAAATACAAATGGTGAACAATACTTGGAGCAAATCTTACATCGCAATCCAGGAACAGGCAGAGGCAACACACATGAAAATATTATTTGCTCTGAATGATGCTTTTGGCTCCTGCCTTGGAAAACAGGATCCTGTGTGTTTTTGCTGAACTCGAGAGCTTCTGGGGAACAGAATGTGTGTAGCAGAGTATGTGCTCCCTAGGGAGAGGGTCTTTTGAGTCTCCCTGCAGTGGACTGTCTAGCCAATTAATCTCGTTTTCTCCCCGCCCCCAAGCATTAACTAAAGTTTTGAGCCTGACCCGGAAGCTGGGCTTTGGCAATTTACTCCTTTTACAAACTGTATGCTGCTAACTCTGACCTGCATAGGATGGGAGGTAGGGGTGAAGCATGGCATTTATTTTAGCCACCCTGCCCTGCCTGCACGCTCTTGTCAATCATAAAGAGATCCATTCAGGGCCATTTATTTCTGTCTGCAACTAGATTATTTAGAGGCCATTTCACCAGTTGTTCAGTCTCCTCAAAATAGCGACCTCTCCGCCCGCCTTGGCTTCTTCACCTCTCAGCTGGTGCCATCTTCTCCCTCTGAATAATTCACATAAGAAAAATCAATCTCACAAACATACTGGCACTCCCAACCTCTCTCCCTCTCTGGCTTCTGCCCTGAGTGTGCAACGTTTCAGCGAGGCCCTTTCCCTGTAGGACTTTTGCCCCCTTTTCTTACACCTGTGATATTGCACTTACTAAAGGGCTGGTGTGATTTGCACTGGCAACGTAGGCACTATTTTTGCACCTAAGTGAACTGCAGGTGCAAATACGAGCACTTTGTACTTCCAGCTACTTGAGGGGCACCCACAAAAGAGGGGCAACCCTCTTGGGATATGGCTTCACTGCACAGTTACTGAGGCCTCCGTCTGAGTTTAACCCCAATACCCCAGCCATCCACACAGAAAAACCTCTGCCCTGGGTTTGGAGGTGCTTTGAGTCTGGGGCGTCTGGCTTAGCTGAGGGTGCGGGTTAGAACCTGGGAGCTTCTCTCAAGCTGGAAACTGCCTGTTTTACAGTGAAGATGCCAGCAAAATCAGTCAGACTTCCAATGCCTCCCCACCATTCCATCAGGGGACAGACAGTTCTCCCACAACTGAATTATGAACTGGGAATGACTCCTAGGGCAATTCAGCATGAAGAACCACTGGCAAATACAGAACCAGTGAGGACACAATAACATGATATAGCTTTGCTATGGAGGCGCTCGCAGCCAGATTAGGCAAACTGGGAGCGCCGAGACTTGTGTGCCAATTGCCCGAATTAAATCTGCAGTGAAGACATACCCTTGGGAACTTGGCTGTGTCTGTCCAGGGCTCCTCTCACAAGAGCTGTGACAATAATGGATTTTTCAGTTCCAAACTATCAGGACAAAAATGGTTTCAACTCTAACCAAAAATTAATTTTGGCCTGAAAGAAATATTTCAGTTGGCCCTGAAATATGAGTGTGAAAAAAATGTTACCCAGCTCTACTTCACACTTATAACACGGGGGGAAGGATGTGCCCAGGATGAACATCATGCTGCCAGATGTGTGCAACTAGTTGTGGCCTGAATCCTGAGGAGCTCGCACTGTGAATAGAAATGACTGATGTGTCATGTGATGAGAAGCCGTGGGAGTTACTGCCATGGGATTGGAACCACGCAAAAAGGAATAAAGAACATTTATTTTCTCTTTTGTGTAGATATGATTTCATGGACTTTATTTGGTCTCCATAAACTCAAGTCTGCAGAGAAATTGGCGGTTGTTTTGTTATTTAAAAGCCATGTACTTAAAAGAGAGAGGAACATCCTGACACAAGAAAGATTGGCATGAAGGAATTCCATTTGTAATCCATCTGGTTGGAATTTGATTGAGAGTAGGCCAGATTGTCAGGTACACTCTACATTTACACCTATTTTGGCACAGCAGTATGAAGGGATTTTAGTGAAAATGAAAATTCAGGCCATTACAGTTTTGTTTAGAGATGCGTGTTTTCCTGGTACTGTTGTATCATTTTGCTTTTCTGTACTCCACTTTCTCAGTAAAACCCAATTCACAAGCCCCCTAGTTCAAACTAGGGTGGCTAATGTAGGCATTCGAACTTGCAAATGAAGCCCAGGATTTAAATACCCCGTGCTTCATTTGCATGTTTCCGGGCGGGCGCCATTTTTAAATCCCCTTAGTTCGAACTGACTGCCCGCGGCTACACACAGCAGTCAGAAGTTAATCCGAACTAAGTCCTTAGATCGGATTAACTGTTCCTCCTCCTGCAATGAGGTGTAACAGTTAATTCGAACTAAGGACTTAGTTCGAATTAACGTTTAACTGCCGCGTGTAGCCGCTGGCAGTTAGTTCGGACTAAGGGGGATTTAAAAATGGCGTCCGCCCGGGAACATGCAAATGAAGCCCGGGGTATTTAAATCCCGGGCTTCATTTGCAAGTTCGAATGCCAACATTAGCCACCCTAGTTCGAACTAGGGGGGCTAGTGTAGACGTACTCTCATAGACTCATAGACTCTAAGGTCAGAAGGGACCATTATGATCATCTAGTCTGACCCCCTGCGCAATGCAAACCACAGAATCTCACCCACCCACTCCTGGAATAATCCTAATCTGATGAGATTCTGAATGCAAAAGGCATTGAGATGATTCAAGCACTTGAGGTTTGAAGAAAGAATGGCAGGCTGTTTCAGCCCCAGGGGGACATTTTGCAAAGGCTGCACAAATTACGTCATGGAATCACCACAGATGAAAAAAAAATCTAAATATATACTTTAAAAACCCCTCACACTGGGAATTCCAATTTCCTCTTACATGCATGCTATAAATACGCTGGTGTGCTGGGTGAATTGTGGAACTATGAGTGACAGCTGATGGTCTCATGCTGGGATCAGATGAGCTATTGTTAACTGAAGCGTCACATGTTGGCTCACATACATGCCAAGGCATGTTGGTGTGTCTCATCTTAAAGCCAGTTACAGTAGAATTGACCATCCTTTGGTACCCAGGAAGGTCCCCCCACAGAGATGTATCTCCACTATCATACAAAAGGGACAATGGAAGTCTGCAGGGAATTTGGACAGTATGGGTGGGGATTTTTCTCCTTCAACCTGCAGAATGTTTCTCTGTGATGGAGAGGAGCAGATCTGCTTTCCTAATATATGTCCTGTTTTCATATGTTAATACCAGAAATCATTGTAATCCTTAAGATGTTCAAATCAAAAGAGAAGTAAGCACCATCATCTACAGGTTAATGAACGGGTTTGGGAGTCTGGACACTTGAGTTGTATTCTCACCTTTACTCCTGATTTCCTGCACTACCGTAGTCAAATCATCTAGCCTTTTTGTACATACAGGCGCTCAGAAGAGCAATGACAAAACAAGTCAGGAGAAGAATGTCAGAGTATGGACTGAAAGTTGTCTGCGTTGGCCACTAGAACTGCTCCACTGCTTGACAAAGTCAGGTTTACAAAACTCAAGAAGAATGCCTTTCCAGTTGGCTGTAGTTCGGGAAAGTTTCTGACATTTATGATGCAGGTTCTACCACTAGCTAAACCATCTAACAACTCCCTAATGCTCAATCACTAAACCATCATTAACTCCCTAATGCTCAATCTCAAGAAATAACCTCCTAAGTATTTTCCCAACAGAATCACTGGTATCAGAGGGAACAAATTAAATAGTAACTAATGATAATATTTTGCTGTAGCAACTTTCTCACAGCATTTTATAGGCATTCATTAGCTAACCCTGAGAACCTCCCCTCCCACCCAAACCTAAAGGAAACACTGTATTCCTCTGGCAAAGTTAGACCAAAACAAAAACAAGGTAAAGCTCTTTAAAAGCGCAGGTCTGCACACAAACTGCTACAACCCTGATGCGCAAGCAGAGGATTATAGGAACATGATAAAGGCCCAGGCAAATCTGAAACTAGATCTGTTGAAAGAGGGAAACGGCGGTAGGAAGGTCTGAGCACTAATTTATTTAGCTATTTACTTGCTTACGGGCTTGCTGACAGAGAGGGCAAAAGGGGCAGTTGCCCAAGGGCTTAGTGATTCAAAGGGGCCTGGAGCTCCTGGTCACCAGTGCTGCAAGTGCAGCAGCAGCCAGAACCCCAGGCCCTTTACATCACCGCCGGAGCACCACACAGTGCACTCAGGGTGGCTCTGGGGGTGAGGCTGGCTGTGCTCTGGGCGGTGCAGAGGGCTAGCTGCCCAGGCCCCGCCCCTTCCACCTAAGGCCTTGTCCTTTCCAGTATCACAGGCTTGGGGCCCTTCCCAGCTTGCTCAGGGACCCACGGAGACTGTGGGCTCCCCTGCTTGCTTATTTCCCTCCAGATCAGTTCCAGCCCTTGCTGACCTGGGGAGCAAAATGCTTTTGGGAAAGTGTCTTGGATTGGTAGCGCTGAGCAAACTGGCCTGCTGTGTTTGAGGAAGTAGCACAGCACTCCGCTGCTCTTCTCAGCCTCCCCTCTCCCAGCTGATCAGGGTGCAGCAGCTCAGAATGAACTAGAGGCTGCTCCCCTTCCCCTCATCTTACCTGGCTGATAGAAGTCTGGAGAGAGTTCCCTGGCCATCGTCCTGGCTACGCTGGATTCATTGTTAGCTGCCTGAGCGGCTTGCTCAGCTCCATCTGCCTTGGCTTTGGCATGGGAGGTCCTGTGGAAAGAACACGATCGTGACACCGAGTACCTTCCAAAGCTCTGAGCTGCGCTGCCCTAGTGCATGGCAGGGGCTACACGGAGAACACTAAAGAATTAAAAATCTGGCACCTCATTTCCCAATAATCCCTTTGATAAGTGGGCTAAAGGACCAGAGAAAAGTGTAATGTTACTAGGATATTTACTGCCACCCCTACTACCACAGACCTGGGCACCATTATGTAGTTAAAAACAGACACACTTATTACCACTGACAGGTGGCAAACTAGCACTGTGCAGAGCTACCCATGCCAGCCAGCAAACAGAAGCCACTCAATCGAAGTGAAAATCCACGGCCTATTGAAAGCCAAGCAAAAAGGGACAGATGGGCAAATAAGCTAGGTACACAACTGCTTAAGCAGAGTGGGTACCCACTTGTGCACTTAATTGTGCATGAGAAGAGGGGTCTGTAGAGCCCTGAATAGAGACAAAATTTTGTCTCTGAATCTGCATCTGTATCGGTAAAATTAGCTGCGCATCTCCACATCCACAGCCGGGGATGCCGATATCCACAGATATCCACAGATTTGCAGGGCTCTGGGTCGCCGTCTGTACAAATGTGCCTAATTAGCCAGCAATGATGCTAACAAATGTCAACTGTAGAGATTGCAACATGCCGCAAATTAGACATGCAACGGCACAGATGAACTCTAAAAATACGGCCCACCACATACATCTTGCAGCATGCTCTCTAAAACAGTGTGGCCAGTGTCTGACTCTCATTAGAAGCAACTTCTTGAGTGAAGGACCTGCCACTATTCAGCAATATTGCACGGCTTCCACATGTTCAACTTTGAGGAGTTGTAGCAGGAGTGCCCCAGCCAATCACAATTGCTGCAGTGGGGTGTGAAGGGAAAGACCCCCTTTGAGAGATGGCATCGTTGCAATCTACATGATGGGATTCCATTTCCATAGCCAGGGGACCCCAAAGAACGGCTTGTATGTCACACTCCTTCCCTCTCCCCTCCTTCGTCAGTTTGGTGGCATTTAAAATGGTAAGTTCTTGGGCTAGGGGCCATGCCTTTGTGTGCGTGTTTTGAACACTGTGGTCATTTATACACCGTACATGACAATAGCATCATGGCCTCAGGGCCAACTGCAGCCTCAAAAGTCTCGAGTGTGGTACACAGCCAGGTTCATCTCTCCTGCAGAGGAGCAGTCTGTGGAGGCCACAGATCCTGGTTTGCAACAGTGGGCAAAGTTTGGCAAGTTCTGTCCCAAAAGCCTCTCGGATGACCATAAATAAAACAAGAGTCCAGTCTTTCAGGCAGATCCCCCTGTCCATATTACTGCTACAGCTGTCCTTGCAATATGAAAATCACCTGTAGTGGCATTGATGCCTCCTCTTGCATTACTTGGCTTCTTGAGTCCTGTTCAGAAACATCTCCTGCTTGTTTCATAAAGCTAACTCAGCTCTCTGCCTGTCTGGGATAGTTCTAAATACATAGCATTTTGGTCCCTATGAGCTTCACAAGAGAAGTTAAACTAACCTTGGAACAACAACGGAACAAAGCTGACTTCAACCGTGAAACTGAATCTTCAGACCAAAAGAGATCAATTCTGTGCATACACAAGCCACCTGTTCCCTCAAGGCTAAGAGTACTTGTTTTCCTACTCCTATCATCAAGCCAGATTTTCAACAGCTTTCTGAATCATGCCAATCCACTTTTGCAGGCATGTATATATGCATATGCAAAACCACATGCATTTGTTGCATATGGACAGTTAAATGTACAATTATCTATCTGAATGTACAAACACAGTGTAGGTCTACACTGCAAAGATAAATTGGAAAAGAAACACAATTTGTGGTATGCAAATTGCTATCTTTTTCTGCTTTACTGTCAAAAAAGGCTTTTCTGAAATTTGGTGCGTCTACACAGCACCAAATTTTGGAAAAAAGCGCTCTTTCGACACATCCCTTCCTCTTTGTAAAACGAGGTTTATAGGGATGGCGAAAGAGCATGTCCACTTTTTCAAAAAAAAAATTCCAAAAAAGCGGACGCTTTCCTTGGACACATCATTGTTTGTCCAGGATGCCGGAAAAGCACTGCAGTCTAGATGTAGCCACAAATACTATTAATTACAGACATTATTAATCCTTGCAATAATCTACGAGCTAGTTAAGTGACCTCTAGTGGTCCTTTTCCCCCACATTCATACACAAAGCCCTTTGGGTGAAACATAGGTGCTGTTTGATGGCACACAATGACAGAACAACATCTTGCAACTGAAACTGAGGGAAGACACTGTATTCCATTAGGACTGCAAAGGGAATTTTAGGTAAACAGAATGTAATCACTCAAGTTTAAACTTAGCCACGGGAGCAGGATAAATATTTTTACTCCAAATGCCCACTTGCATATGTGTGAGAAGGAAGGGTGATGGTTCATGCAAATATTGCAGGTGCAATAAAAGAAGTTGCTGAAATTTTGCAGTTAACTTTCTTTCAGGTGAAAAGTGAGAGAAGCATCTATGATTCTTGGTCACAATGGTTATGGGGAAGAATTAATTGCCTAGCACATTTCTGAATCTTCATGCTCAGCAATGCTGTAAAATACCTGTGAACTAGAAAGGCATTCTGACTCGTAACACGAAAGTAACTACAATATAGCTCTTTCTATGCTTCAGAATTCCTATATCTTCCTTTATGCTGGAAATAGGAATCATCCTATTGCTCACATTTACCTCACATCTTCCCTCTTAGCTTGCAAGCTGAGCTGTCTGGGCTATTTTTCAATTTTTGTTTTTCTGTCCAAAATTATTAGCGCTCCCGAAACATCCAGAGACACTAACTGATGAGACAGAAGTCTGCAATTTTAAACCTCGACTGCATGCAGGAGATCACGGGAATCTGTAAACAGAGAAAGTGTCTCCTTTTTTGGTAGCATATGATCAGTGTGATTAATTCCACTACAATCTGGGGAGGGCGTGGTGGCATATTTATGTGCTTTTCATGCCTAGGGAATCAGTGTGGATTCACAGTATTCAGCGCAAAGCCTGAAAACTGCCTTCACCTTGGGGAGAGGTGCTCATTTTAATTCTCCAAAGAGATGCTCCAAGAATGAGCCCAACTTGACAAGCTCTGATAGTGCAGCTCCCACAGTTGGATCCCCGAGGGTCTACCCAGAGAAAGAAGCCCAGGCGTTAGCTACTTATTTAGGGTGGGATTCTCAGAACCTGCCCTACATGTGTCAGGGTGTTTGCCCCACTGATCAGATGGCTGAAATTGCACATTTGGGGTGCATCTAGACTATATTCTTCTTTTGAAAGAGGAATGCAAATGCGAGACATAGAAAATGCAAATGAAGTGCTGATTTACAAATCTCGTGCTTCATTTGCTTAATCTCTTCTGATCGCTTTTTCGGAAGAGATTTTTTTTTAAAAAAAAAAAAGCAGTCTAGACGGGGTTCTTTAAAAAACCACCTCTTTTTCGAAAGAACCCTGTAAACCTCATTTTTTTAGGAATAAGGGGGCAAGAACAGGCTGACCTTGTGTGTGCTGGTGAGAACTCACTCTCTTGTAGTCATGTTGAAGATGATGCATCAGACTCTCTTGTTTCTGGCACAGGCACTAGGGGGGTCTTAAGCTACCATGGAAACTCCTACATTCCTGGGCTTCTCTCAGCCTTTCTTTTCAGTTGAGTTGCTTTGTGGTCACCCTTATACTCATCATGCTCTGGCCACATCCTCTTCCTCTATGCTGGGGGCTGTGAGAGAGGCAGTGTAGAGCCATTTGGACACAATGTGGCCCTCGAGGTGCTGGAACAATTTGTATAGTGGAGATACTGTGAGCCATTGGGCCAAACTGTGAATCCTGTATAGAATGGAAACCATTTCAAGATGGGGTGGGGGGTGGCTGCACCAAGGCCATCCTTAGGGTTTATGGGGCCCTACGCAGTACGAGTTGGACCTCCCTGGTCCGACACCCTTGGGATCTAACTGGTCCCAGATGAGGGATTTTTCCGGACTGGGGAGGTCATTTCAGGCCCTCCCCAATACCTCTCTCCCCACTTCCTGGCTCTTCCTGCAGCCTAGCTGAGCTGTGTACCAGCTCCTGGTGCTCTCCCACAGCACAGCTGAGTCACGTGTACTTCCTGACCCTGCTACTCCAGCAGCCCAGCTGAGCTGCGGCTAGGGTTGCCAGATGGTTGAAACAAAAATACCGAATACTCCCCCCCCCCCCCGCAAAAAAAACCCACCATGAAAAAATTCTGTTGAAGGGGAAAAAAAGGGGGGGAGGCCAAAGTTGTTGGGCAAAAAAAAAGGGGCTACAAGGACTTAAGCCCTTTTGTGCCGGCAGCCTTGGGGAACCAGGTGAGCATGAGGGCTGGGGTCAGGGGGCTGGAGGTGTTGGGGTCTGGGAGGGAGGAGGGGCCGGACACTGACTGTTTGCAGGGTTGCCAGGTGCCCGGCATTTTCATCTCCTGGCCAGGGAAAAATTCAGAAAATACCAGATATCTCAGGTGTCCGGTATTCTCTGATTTTTTTTTACCAGACAGGAGGCGAAAATACTGGACTGTCCGGGTGAATACCGGACACCTGGCAACCCTACCTGTGCCCTGGCTTCCTGCCCCTCTTCCAGCAAGGCACGCTAGCTCCTGGTTCCCCCCTCACAGCCCAACTGAGCCATGTACTAGCTCCTGGGTCCCCACCCATCTGCAGTGCACCAGGACATTAATTCCAGGTCATGCCATGTTCCATGTTGCCAGATCAGAGAATCCCAGATTTTAGAGGTGCAACCTGCACTATTAAATTGGTGTTCCTATGCCTTATGGGCAATTGTTAGAGATGTGATTTTATAAACTTCAACAACACACTAATGAAATAGTTTTAAAGCGAACTCAGGTCCTGTAGACTAACAAGTAAATTCAGGAATGGATGGAATTTACCTGGTGTTGGCAAACACCTGTTAAATGGCTTTGTTACCACTCGAATGGCTTTTTCACAGGTTTGATGT